CTGTCTGATCATGGCGGAATTTTTCTGGCGAAATGAAATGGAGTTGAAATAAGGAGAATTTCAGAAGGGGAGATCTTGTTGAAAGGGATCTGTTCAGTTTTATTTGCGCGGGGCATCGGTAGCGTGCGTTCTTCGCTATACGGATAACATGGAGCCGCCAGTTACGCACTTCGCCACGTGTGATTAATTTAATATTTTTAAAATAAAAATATATGATTATATTAAATAAATAACTAAATTAATTATAATTAGAACATGATAAAAATATACTGATTAATTAAATATGATAAAACATTATAAAATTTTGCTGTAGGTTTTATCGTTTCTAATTTATTTTGAATAAAATATTTTTGTTTTTAATTATTGATTTTATTTTGTTACTCCCATTCCTGAATTTGGTGATGTGAAATACTTAGCAAAAAGATTTTACAACAGGACTGAATGAATGAATCCTAAAAACACATACTTGGATTTCTGTGGATCAATGGAATATGTAATATCTATCTAGTGCAAAAATATACACTAGGGCATGTATATTAATTTCATATGGTACTTGGGAATCAGAAAAGTTTTGTAGCAAGAGAGGCTGCAGCAGCGCCTATCCCACATCGGTAAGAAACAAATCTTTATAATGCTTTATATACAGGAGTTGGCAGTGACTTTCTAGATGCATACGCGGTAAACAAGTTTCTCTTTCAAGTTTTCTCCGAAATGATTGTCCATGGGAAAATCTGCTCATTAGCTTTTCGCAAATTTCAAATGAAATAAGAGGTCCTTTCATTTTACCATTTTAAGATGTTCCATATTTGACTTGCATGTTTCCATGAATGGGGAGAGAGAGGGTTAGGGAAAGAAAATATGAGAAGATACGGAGATACCATAAAGTATATTGTTTGGTCAACTAATAGTAATTTTACGAACTTACAGGATAGCAGTTTTTTTTTTTAAAGGGGTTTGATAAGCTTTTTTTTAATTGTTTGTGGTTGGAGGAAAATGGTGTTTCCATGCTGTTATATGCTCATCAAAACTGTTGTTTCCGTAGCTGATGCATACGCGGTAAACAAGTTTCTCTTTCAAGTTTTCTCCGAAATGATTGTCCATGGGAAAATCTGCTCATTAGTTAAAGAAGCCGCTTTTCGCAAATTTCAAATGAAATAAGAGGTCCTTTCATTTTACCATTTTAAGATGTTCCATATTTGACTTGCATGTTTCCATGAATGGGGAGAGAGAGGGTTAGGGAAAGAAAATATGAGAAGATACGGAGATACCATAAAGTATATTGTTTGGTCAACTAATAGTAATTTTACGAACTTACAGGATAGCAGTTTTTTTTTTTAAAGGGGTTTGATAAGCTTTTTTTTAATTGTTTGTGGTTGGAGGAAAATGGTGTTTCCATGCTGTTATATGCTCATCAAAACTGTTGTTTCCGTAGCTGTTGCAGTGTTCTGCCTTTAATTGCTTCTACAAAGTTTACAAGTCTTATGCTTATCAAATTTCTGTTCTCTCAAGCTCTCAATGTTTTTTGAATCTACGCCTTTTTTTTTTTTTACTTATCTTCTGTGTTAAAAGGAGAGAGAACTTACGAGGTGAGGGATATAGCCTTTTTGTTATATGCATACGCGGTAAACAAGTTTCTCTTTCAAGTTTTCTCCGAAATGAATGTCCATGGGAAAATCTGCTCATTAGTTAAAGAAGCCGCTTCTCGCAAATTTCAAATGAAATAAGAGGTCCTTGCATGTTTCCATGAATGGGGAGAGAGAGGGTTAGGGAAAGAAAATATGAGAAGATACGGAGATACCATAAAGTATATTGTTTGGTCAACTAATAGTAATTTTACGAACTTACAGGATAGCAGTTTTTTTTTTTAAAGGGGTTTGATAAGCTTTTTTTTAATTGTTTGTGGTTGGAGGAAAATGGTGTTTCCATGCTGTTATATGCTCATCAAAACTGTTGTTTCCGTAGCTGTTGCAGTGTTCTGCCTTTAATTGCTTCTACAAAGTTTACAAGTCTTATGCTTATCAAATTTCTGTTCTCTCAAGCTCTCAATGTTTTTTGAATCTACGCATTTTTTTTTTTTTACTTATCTTCTGTGTTAAAAGGAGAGAGAACTTACGAGGTGAGGGATATAGCCTTTTTGTTATATGCATACGCGGTAAACAAGTTTCTCTTTCAAGTTTTCTCCGAAATGAATGTCCATGGGAAAATCTGCTCATTAGTTAAAGAAGCCGCTTCTCGCAAATTTCAAATGAAATAAGAGGTCCTTTCATTTTACCATTTTAAGATGTTCCATATTTGACTTGCATGTTTCCATGAATGGGGAGAGAGAGGGTTAGGGAAAGAAAATCTGAGAAGATACGGAGATACCATAAAGTATATTGTTTGGTCAACTAATAGTAATTTTACGAACTTACAGGATAGCAGTTTTTTTTTTTAAAGGGGTTTGATAAGCTTTTTTTTAATTGTTTGTGGTTGGAGGAAAATGGTGTTTCCATGCTGTTATATGCTCATCAAAACTGTTGTTTCCGTAGCTGTTGCAGTGTTCTGCCTTTAATTGCTTCTACAAAGTTTACAAGTCTTATGCTTATCAAATTTCTGTTCTCTCAAGCTCTCAATGTTTTTTGAATCTATGCCTTTTTTTTTTTTTACTTATCTTCTGTGTTAAAAGGAGAGAGAACTTACGAGGTGAGGGATATAACCTTTTTGTTATATGACTAAAGGAAGTCCCAGAAGATCTTTGCTCTCTTTCTTTGCATCTTACTAAATGGTTATCAGAGGTTAAAGCTTGCAAGATAAGCATATAATCATTTGAAAAGCTGCTTCTAATTCATTGTTGGCCTTTAGGATAAGTTTTTCTCCGCAGGCCAATGGATATGATATACAGGACCAACTAGATAAACTTAATGGTACAAGTTTTTCTCCATTTATCCGCTATTTTTTTTTCCTTATCTTCCTTCCAAATGCTGAGGAATATTTGCAAGTCCAGGTGATCATCCTGTTCTTGAGGTTAAACTGTTCCCACTCGATTCTTAACATAGTTGAAATGATATGCAAATTGATATACTTGTGTGTCCTGAATAAGTGCTATATCCGACTAAATATCATATGGTGCAAGCTCTTCTTAGCATGTTCCACATCCTTTTGGATGCAGCAATGTTTGATTCTGCAGTGTCTACGGTAACAGTCTGTTGTGATAATTTACAAGGCTGCTTTGGCGCTCGACACACACCATGCTTGCAAAGGAAGATATTGAGTTACTTTAATCGAGACAGTTAAGTACGATACTTCTAATAGGTAAGACATGGTTTGAAGTACACTATGAACGTAAAAAAAAAAAAAAAAGTAGAAAAGAGAGAAAGAAAGTATACTGAGTCGGTTCATGATGGTTTTTACCATTTCATAAAAGAGCCATTTTGTACGAATTACTTTTTGATTATTGGTTAGGACTTTCACTTTCTCTCTATTAAGGATATGAAATTAAACACAGTTCTAAATTATGCCTCTTTTGCATAAACAATCAAAAACCCCCATGTAACCAACCATTTAAGTTGAGCTAATTAATCTATAGATGTGAAAGATAAAAAAGAAAACTGACTATTACAAAGTTGTAAAAACTTATAATCTTTTACTTCGTCTTCTTGTGGGTAAATGAGTGATACTGGTCAGACATGTTTGATTGTAATCATTAATCACCCAACCAAAACATAACCCTATAATTTTCCCCTTGAAGACGTCAAACCCTCTCTATTCAGAGTCTGACTCCATGTTACTCATTGCCTTCAACCCTCTTGATCTCTGCATCACAATAACAAATTTTTAGACTTTTAGCTGTCATTTTCACAAGTGCTTATCAAGAATACCAAACCGCAGTCCCTTACTGTTTTTGTATTCTAAGATTAAATTTCATGACTATATATTAAACTTAAAAAAGTACATAAATATACACTCTCTGACATACATGTATAATAAACAGAAGCACAGTAGTTAAATCATCACTACTTGAATAATTTGCTTGCGATTTCATGCCAGACGTAACTCTTGTTATCTTCTAGTCAACGTAAGTTTTGATTTGCAGATGAATTCCATAAAAATTTTAAAAATTTATTCTAAAATAGCTTATAATTTATTAATAATACCTTCTTGGCAATCTTCTTCTCCCTGACATCATACCGTTCCAAGGTAAGATCACATAGCCATGCTCCAGGGCTAACAAGCTGTTTAATGTTCGGTGCAAGTGAATTAATACACAAACAAAAGACAAATTACATGCATGAGTTAGACACCATCTTCAAGTAACACTACGAAGATTAACTAAAAAGAAAAGGATTTGAAATGTTACCATATATATATATATTTTCTATAAATTTTTAGTATATGCTTTTTGTTCTTGGAAGTCACATCAAAAAATAAGTAAAGATGTCTGTCGCATAGAATACATCAGGTCAGTCTGGTTGACTTTAGCCTATAAACATATGTAAAGAGGATAATCTCGTGAAATATATATATATATATATATATATATATATATATGAAATTCTTTTTTTTAAAAAAAATTAAAAGTATGTATAGTCAGTTTTATAAATTCTGCATAAACAATAAATATTTAGTAAAAACATGTATTTGAAAAATTAATAAATAACTAAAAATAACTTTTTAATAAAAATATTAAAAATAAGACAATTAAGTTACATAACATATAAAATAAAGAAACAAATAATAATAGTTTTATTTTCCGAAAATGGTTATAAGTATTTAGTTCTTTGAACTTAAATGTTAACATTTTAATAAGTAACAATAATTTTAAAAGACAAGCATAAAACTTCTGAGACATAAAAATTAGCTAAAATTATCTAACTTTGAAAATATAATATTCCGAACATAGTTAAAAACTCAATGTCCACTTTTACACCTCATTCTGTTCCTATTAAAAAAAAAAATTGAATTAAAAAAACAAATAATTTTTAATAGAAATTATTTTTAAAACATTGTTTATGAGTTCACAATAATAAGATCAAACGAGTACTTAGGCGACATTTAATAACAGAGAGACCTACAAAAAGGTATTTAATAAAGAACGAGAGAAAAGCAGATTGTAAAAGGAATAATAATCTTCCACGATAAGCGTAGTGACGTGTCTTGAGGAAGGAGGATTTACGCTACACCTGTAACCTCATGTACCGTCCACTTCAATCTGGGCATTAACCAAACCAGAATTCTTTCTTTTTTTTTTTATATATATATAAAAATCATGAAGTGATTCAATCTGGCGTTACCGAACTAGTCTCAATCCTACTGCAATCGAAGTTGAATTTAACTAAAATATACTTTAAAAATACGAAGATCAATTGAAAATATTCATGAAAATTCATAAAATAAAATTTAAAATATGTAAATTACGTTCACGAGTTCTGCTAATTTATCATTCACTAATTTGTATTGCTCTGATTTTAAATTTTCCTTGGGAATATACCCTTGTCTGCTCCTGCCCCAAAAGTAATTAGTTAAGGAATATATATATATATATATATATAAACGCAGAATGTAGTACTACTCTCATTCAAAACACGAAAAGAAAAGAAGCAGCAAATCTACAATTGAAATTTGAAAACAGCTTATAATAGCAGTTTTATATATATATATATATAAAATTATTATCAAAATTTCTAAGAAGCAATTAGGTAGGTATTCACGCTTCGACTCACATGTGGACTGTGATTTTCAACTTCTGTAAATTTTCAATTTGAAATTCAATTACTCATAAACTTGAGGCGGAGAAAGAAAGGCTTACTTACATTAAGATTCCGTTGAATGAACTTCGCTCTCTTCTTTGGTCTTTGAGGTAGCTTAGATCCTTTAAGCGCCATGAAATCTTCTTCCTTCTCTTTATTTGTTAGAGCAATAACGAATTTCGGCGGCCAAACAGGCGGGGAAGCTACCGCCACTGCTACTGCTGCTGCTCTTGCGTCCCCGCTCCCAGACGAAGATCCGCCTTTCTTGCTATCTGAAGAAGCCGCTGATTTATTGTTATCATCTGGTACTGAACTAAAACCCCTGCCCCCTCTCATCACACTGCAATTTTATGATCGTCTAATCAACATTACAACCAAAACCACAATATCATATAATTTAAAACCTCCACACGAGAAATAAAAAGGAAAAAAAACTTATGTGGGTGGGGGGGGGGGTTGTGATGAATTTTACGAAAATAACCTTGGGGTTGATCTGAATCGACGGGTATTGGGAAAAATAAGGTGGAGAAGGAAAGGGATTCGCTGAGAATTTGAAGATTTTCAATCCAACTTGCAAAAAAAGAAATGGCTCCTAGTCCGGTTTGTGGGGTTTAGTTAAAGGTTACGTGTAAATTGAGGAGGGTCCAAGGCCAAACCGCTGGCCCACGTTGCTAGTTCAATTTACAATCCTACGGTGGATAACGATGCACCAGAGCAAATCAGGAACACGTGTCTACGTATGATGGATCAACGTCTATACATACATGGCCAAGA